AACAATTGTTTCCTTATACCACCCACTGCCTATACTGACATTGTAAAACTGATATAAGAAACTTACGCTAGCCTTGAAAACTGTACCTAGAAGGGGTGCCCAATCTTTTGGCATCTCTGGGCCACACGGGGAGAAGAGTTGTCTTGGGCCACGCATTAAATACACAAACACTAATGAGCAAAAAAAAGGTTTTAAGTAAATTTATGATTTTGTGTTGGGCTGCACTCATAGCGATCACAGGCTGCACACGGCCCGTGGGCCATGGGTTGGACAAGCCTGTAAAAACAATGAATATCTGAATTCCTGACGTCTGCCTGGCAGAGTAATTGTATCCACCCCCAATTCTCCAAGATAAATTAATAACAATTATTTACATACGCTACTGACAAGATACACAGTTAGGGTATGAGCTAGAACATGGTCAACAAAGCTATCTTAATGTAATCAGTTGCAGTAATAACTGAACTCCATATTTACCATGTCCTGGGATTGGTGGGATTTTCTTTTATTTGCCTGCTTCCTGGTCTGTCCGCCTCTTTGCCCAGGCTGAACGGCACGAAGGCATGAACCCTTCCCTTGTCCCCGCTGTCGCCCTGCTACCCACCGTGGTGCTCACGCTAAGGAAGTACTTGTTGAACGTAAGAGTAAGTAACTGAACAAACACCACTGCCACATTACTTCTGTTATACATAGCAGGAAGAGAAGAAAATATTAAAACAATTTTTTAATTAAAAAAACTAAGTTTTGACCACTTTAAATTCGGAATAGCAAAATATCTTTTTATTTAATTTAGCATACTTAGCATTTCTATAAATTATTAATTTTCTTTTCTAATTGGACTGGTTATACTAGACTCAGTTGTTTTTGTGAAGAAGAGGCATTATTTAAAATTGGACGGATTAATCAATCCATCCTTTTTCAAACGCTGTCTCTTATGATATTTCTTTTGGTAAAATATTATATATAATAAGTAGATTCTTTGCTTCAGAAGAGGAACAAATTAAAAAGAACTGAAAAAAGAGTTTCTCCATTAAAAATGTGCCCTCCTAAGATACCATATGTCACTACCATCAGAAGTCTTAGAGAAGACACAATCAGCAAATAATAAACAAGATACAACTGTGCCAAGCAGAGGACTAGAAACCTAATCATATATTCATGCTTGACTTTTTCTACATTTATTTATCTATTTACATGCACAAAAATTCAAATAATACCCATTTCTCAGCTCTTCCATCAGAGACCTTCATCACACACACACACACACACACACACACACACACACACACACACCCCCATTCATCTTTCCTCATCTAGTTCCACTCTACTCGCCACCATATTGCCTACATATCTTACCATGTTTTGTTCTTTGTAATGATATCAACTTTCAGAAGCATAAACACAAAACTCATTTTATCCTTTCATATATAAAAGACAATTTCAGAACAGCATTAAAGTTTTTGGAAAAAAATCAAATATCTTATCTGGGCTATCTTCTTTTAAAGGTACAACTGAAAAAAATCATTCAGGATTTTTAGATACTCCTATGTTTCAGGCTGGAGGAAATATTTTAAATGGGGCAGATTAAATTATTAAAATGAATTTAAGGGAGAGGAGGAAATATTTGTATTTTATTTTCATAGCACTATCATGGAGAAGTGTTGATTTTACCATTTTTCAGCGTGAACTTAAAGAGTACTAGGCCTGTTAGGGGAAAAAAGACAAAACAAAACACTTTATCTTGCATGACAATGGTCTACATTCAAACCACATGGTGGACAAATTTAGGCAGAAAACTCCCCTTAATACATTACAACCAAAATTGCTGGATAAATGATTAAAAGGAAACCATTGTTTTTAATGTCATTAAATTGTCAGGGAAATAAAAGGAACTCTTTGAAGAGCAAATAAGCACAAGAAATCAAGATTTCAGTGGAGGGAATGTGGTCTGGAGTCCTGGGGGTACCTGCTGAACCCTGCTGCGGGAATATGGGAGTGGGGGTTTAACAGGCCACAGTGCTGTAGAAGAAGCCTGGAGCTGGATCTAACCCTGTTCCTTCCCCCCACCCCAGCTATTCACATCTCCCTCTGCGAAATGTGCCGCTCAGTGGAAGGCTACACACCTCTGTCAGCAATTACTCTGATGGCTAACTTCTCAATAGCTATAAGACAGTGGAATGGAGTCCTTAAGGTACTGAGAAAAAAATAAACACAACCTAAAATTTTATATCCTGACTGACTAACTTCTTCCTGAGAATGAAGGTGAAATAAAGGAACTTTCAAATAAATAAGAACTGAGTATTTACTACCAACAGGCTTTCACCTGAGAGACTTTTAAAGACTATACTGCAGGAAGACATGGTTAACACAAAAAGTAGACACATACGTAGAATTATTGATTACATAAAATAACAAAAACAACATCTCGCTTGTGAAGTTAAAAAATTCAAAACTAAAATCCACTACCCTCTCCATACTAGTAAGAAGTGGGGTTAACTGTAGTAAGAACCAAATTAGCCTGGACAGAAGGACAAATCCACTTACCAGTGAACTCTTTGTAGCAACATGACATTACTATTTTATTGTCTTTATTATTGCTCAGGCTAATAACTTTATTGTTCATTACAAGAACTTCCCAAAATAACCATTAACCCCTTCAACTGAAGTATCAACAGTCCATTATCTAACATTGCTGAAGTCTTTACCTAAAATTCCTTGCCTTGTTTCCACCAATTCTAAACTACTAAATGACGCTTTCCCATTCTTAATTGAGTTTCCACAATAAAAGATCCATTTTTGGTTGTGTTTTTTCTCCCCAGACTCTGCTACAGCTATCAAGGTGGTCTTCTCTGTCACGACAGTAAGTGATAAACTCAGCATTGTCTTATCAACACAGTGTGGCGGTACCTTGGGAGTTAGCACTCCACAGTAGTTAAAATGATCTCAGAGAATTTTTTATTTTGGGAAGGAGTTAAACATTGATTAGCTTTAGATATTAATTTAAATATGCATTTCTAAGGTAACCATTAAAAGCAGGCTATAAAATGGTATACTATACATCAAGGTAAGAAAATCATCTAAGCTAACTGCATCAACATGAACTAACTTTAAAAACATCATATTGTTATTTTTGCTTGTTTTTAAATGTATATCAAGTCACAAAAGTAAACAGTATTATCCCACTAATATATATATATATATGTATACATATATACAAAAAATAATTTACTTTTTATAGGATAGTGCATTGGGAAATACATACACATGGTACAATTATAGAGAAAGTCAGGAGGTGAAGTAAAAAAAAGTTAAGACAATGATTAAATTTGCAGAGTTAAGAGGGTGTAATCAGGGAATAACAAAGAGAGGGGACTTCAGAACTAATAAGTCATTTTTCTTAAGTTTAGTCTCATATTAAGTAAACTGAGTGACAACCTAGATTAAGCATGCTGAATGATTAATTTTTATTATTTAACTGTTAACATACACTATGTACATACACACATAACTATGTACACACAGGCACATATAATACTACCTATCTCATAACACAACCCACTAGGTGTGCAGGTATCATGTAGCCCTCTTGGCACTGGCCTGTAGAAATTGGAACTAGAGAAAGAGGCACAGGAAAGCGTTAAAACTCAGGCTACTGCTATTGCTGTAATATGGTCCTTCATCTCTGACCCAAGATTCTCATGTCTTCTCTCAGCATCTATGAAATTGTAGTAGTTAACTTGCTACTTTGCAAGTAGGACAAAATCATAAACTTTTCAGTTTTTGACAACATTATGAAATTCTATATACGAAAAGAAGACAAGAGGTGCAGTGTACTCATATAGCCTTGTGAAAAACCATCAAATATGGGTGGTAGGGAAAATGGGTTTTAGCACTGGTTTAGGTAAAAAATATGAATAACACCTCGGACAGCTGCTTTACTCCTCTGTGCCTCTATACATAGCTAGGACAGCTTCTGTTCTCAAAGTCTAAGATTATAGACATAAGAAAATATAACATGAAATGCATAGTTGCAGAATGAAGAAATGTGAAAAAAATCTAACCATATAAATGTGAAAGATACAAATTGTGATGACAGCAAGTGCAAAGTTTATTTCATCTGTATTGAAATATTTATCTGTAATCTACCATGAAATGAAAATTCTCTTTTAACTTGTATATCAAAGAAAAAATAAAGAACCCCACAAAGAAGCTCAAGTAAAATATTTTTATGATATACAAATGCCACTGAAGTGAAAAACCTTCAATAAGACCACCCAACCTTGACAAGTGTATTCACATAGGATTTAAAGAGTAATATTTGTATGACATACAGTAGGTGGTCTTCTGCGTGGATGAAATACTCCAGCTGACTTTGGTTCATGAATGCTTCTAGGAGAATAATGATAAATTTCTACCAGCCAGATCATAATGTTAGCCTAAATTTCTAGTTCGTTTTCAAAATTGTATTTTTTGTGTGTGATGAAATATTTAAGCCTCTTATCACAATGTGTGTGTGTATGTATCTATATGTGTACTAATGAATACTGGATACTATGGGTAATATGTATCCATAGATGCTGATTTTTCTTTTAATAGCTTATTGTTTATATAATTGATTTGACTATCAGGGAGCTCAAATGTAAAATTTTTAGCACTAATGGTAACATGTATTCTAGTACAACTGCACTCCTTTACTTGGCTTTTTATTCTCTATTTTTTATTTTAAAATATCTTACTCTATATGTATATTTTACCATAAATTACCTTAAATTATTTTTAGAAGTACATAGAAACTAATGATTGCATATATATGTAAATGTATATATATCTTCTAATTTTAAATGAAACATAGCTTAAACAAGGTCGTAAATTTCTTGGATCACCAGAAAAAACATAACAAAAGAAAAGATGCCATTTAAAACTACATCATCAAAATGAAGTGACTTAAAAAACTGTAACAGTTGTTACAATCTATTGGAATTTCAAGTATGATAACTTACTTGCATATGTCATCTTCTGGTTCTTCAAGCCCAAATCTTTCATCAAATGTAAGTTGTATCCATACATTTTCCTCTACTGCTACTAATCTCCATACCAAGACCATATTTCTTGGATAAGTATGAGGAAACTTTGGGCTGTGAATACTTCCGTTAGTAGACACAGTAATAACTCTCTCATGCTGGGGATCTTGTACTCCTAAAACAAAAACATAGGCATAGACTTACATTTAGAACAGACATTTCAAAAAGTATAGGTTTCAAAATGTTTTTTTAATCATCCACCTTTTACCCCCCAAAAATGTTGGATATGCTTTATACAATATAAATTACCACTCTTTTCAGAACGTATCCAGAAAAAAAGATTGTTTTAACACCACTGAATAAAAACCTATGTTTATATTTATACTTCCAAGAAGTTAGTCTTTTAAAATCTAATTACTAAAATTTCAAACATCCGATTCTTTTCGAGTCCTAAAATCACAATAAAGTTAACACCCTAATCTCTAAGACCTTATCAAATATGAGGCATATCAGAACAAAAAGAAACTTGATATAACTCTAGTTTTAAAAATACAAATTATTACTGATATCCCCTAATCATGACTAGGTTAGATAACCTTCAGTTCTTCAAAACCTAGATTATCTCTCTGTGCCTAATGTAATAAGGTTTACCCCTAAAAGAATCTGGTTCCCTCCTAAAGTCAGAGAAATTCAAAGTGTGAGAGATTCAAAAGGAGGGAGATTCCTTGCTGTTGGCTTTGAGTGTGGAGGAGGCGATGTGCCAAAGGATGTGGGAAGCCTCCAGAAGCCAAAGGCAGCCTAAGGCTGACAGCTAGCAAGGAAATGGGACTTCACTTTTAAAACCTCAATGAACCTGAAGGGACTTGGAAGCAGACCCTTCTCAACAGCCTCCAGGAAGAATGAAGCCTGGCTGACATCTTGATTTCAGCCTTGTAAATCTCTGAGCAAGAATCTAGTCACACCGTGCCCAGACTTCTGCTCTACGGATCTAAGAATAAATAAAGTGTGGTTTAAACTGTTAATTTATGGTAATTTCTTGCATAACCATTAGGAGAACATACATCTTCTCTTGGGCACAAAGCTGTTTGGATGGCAAGTAATTTCTTTTTGCCTGTGTTCTTTAGCAGCAAAAACAGTAACAGCAGCAACTTTTCATTCTTTCATTCAGTATTTATGTTAGTGAAAATACATCACTGTACCCTGATAAAGTGTAATTTAAAAATATTACTCTAAAACTTCCTGAATTTAAAAGACAGTATAAAAGTCATGTATTAGAAGGGTCATCTTATTTAGGTCAAAGAATAACCTTTGGATGGTTAAAAAAATCAAAATAATTTTAACAAGTTTATTTATGATTCTTAAAGCAGATTTTTAATTCTCTTAAATAGCTATTTCAACAATCAGTTTGGTAAATATTATTTTATATTTTCTAACATAACTAGAAAGACAAGATAAAGACAAATATAATGTCCTTTGAGTATACCTAGTGCACATTATGGGGAATACCATCATATTAGTGCTTTAAGTGCCTAAATTTGTTCCTAAACTTGTCCTCAGCAGTCAGTAACCTACACAGAAATATGTTCCCTCTTACTGGATGATGATATTGATACTGTTGTTGGCTACAGTAACATACGAAATTTTAAATAACTTTATGCACATAATTTAGCACCGGTATATCTACAAAGAAGACAGAATCTATCAAGTTAGATGAATTTTTCCCTATAGTGACATTGCTATTAAGAAAATAATAATTTATTCTTAAATAAACTTAATAAATTGTGCGCTTTCAAAGATTTCTTTTAAAAACAAAGTATTTTCAACTAATTTTACAACTAATATTTTTAATGAACTAATTTTTCCAATCAGATTTACTAAAATTTAATATTTGCCCCATTTTGTCTCAAAAGAAATGCTTTATAATCCCAAATCACTCTTCACAAATATAGCAATGTATACTCTTTCATATAGAATCTAGAAAATTAAATAATTATTAAAAGATCTGAATTGCATTGTTATATCTTCAGTCAAAAAACTCATATAATGTAGGTACTTAAATTGTTTATATCATTTTTTACTTTATTATTCACAATTCCCTTCAACTAAAACTAAATATAATTTATAAACTGAAAATCTAGGCCTTATTTGTAGTAAAAGAATTGCACACTTCTTAAGTTAAACTGCTGCTTACAAAAATTCATCTCAAAATGCTGTGAGGTTTGCCACCAAACACATATGATCTGCCCAACTGTCAAAATTTTATGTAAATCTCAAACTGCCCCATAATCAAAAAGAAAAAAAAAAAGCAACAAAAAGTTCTACCAAATTAAGACTCTGCCTTTGTAGCTCTGTTACTTATAACAATCATCTTTCCAAATATATAAATTAGTTATTTTAGTGATGAGCTTATTACATATTTTGTAACTATTTTAATGAATGTCTGCTTTTCCTATATCCAATAAACAGTATACACAAAGAAAATACCAATGAAATAAAACAATTGTTTATAGTCAAGTCATTAAAATATTTACAACATACTCTTTTCAATGTATCCTAAGCAAGAATAAATTATTCGTCATAGATGATTTTAGCATGAAAAGGAAAATGTGTACAAACACTAAATTTTTAAATTAAAAATATACACTATTTTACATTATCCTGCACAAGCCCTCTTAAGGTAGAAGTATCAAAAACTAAAATGAAACAAAAGAAGAAAAGGAAAGGAAGAGATGTTAATGATGCCAATACTATAAAATTGTTGATCATGTATGTACACTTACAATTCAACTGTATAGAATCATCGTATATTCTTATTGTATTCAATAAGTTGAGGGTTTAAATCAAAATAACTTTCTAATGTTTGCCATGCTATTAGGTCCTTTGAAGCTATGCGTATTAGAGATGAAAGAGAAGAGAAATAAGAGGATCATAAAAGGTGATAAAAATAATAATTGAAAATTCTATGCTATTAAAAAGATAACACTAAAAAATAGCTTTCTGTATAATATACATAACTCATAAAGAAAGATAAATCATCCATTTCCTTCTCTATTCCAATGTTTTAAGTTGTTTTTTGCAGGAAAGACCTGTAATACTGAGAATTAGGTAAAAAAGAAATGAGTCACCAATCTTAGTTTTAGTGTGAGAGTGCTGAGAAATTCTGGGTGCTGCTGCACACAGTCAAGGTTGTGGCTACATGTCACGCATACACTGGGAGACTTCACAGATGTTCTGTGCAATGTTTGATGTGTTACTTCCAAATGTATGTTAATTTCAAATTGTGTATAAAAAGATATTTCTGTAATAGTTGCATCTATTTTCAAATCCTTACTTGACAAATAACACATATCCACTAGTCTTATTTGTGCTTTGATGTGCTCACTGTTTTTTCTCCTGTGATAATTCTTCCTTATCCTCATCTTGTTACTTTGTTTATAATAGCTATTTCTTTTTCCACTCTCATTAACTCTCAATTAACAAATTTCACTTTTAGCAATAGTTAAAATCATACGGCCTATACACGTAAAAGCTAGCTTTACTGCTTCTATGATTGGCACCTTTCTGCCTTGGAGATCCAGAGTAATCTCGTTGTAATTTTCTTTGATTCCATAGGGAGAAGATATACTTGAGCTCCACATAACACACAAATATCTTTCCATAAATTCCATATGATATAGAAGTGTCCCATTTTCATGTTTAGTATTTTAAACTCTGACTATTAATGCAAAAGTCTAATATACTAGACAGAAAATTCAGACTCCATCAGTTCAACTATTTACCATACCTTTAAAACATGAGAAAAATAAAACAAAGATAATCAACAAAGTGGGTGTTTACCTCAAACTGTTTACAAATTACATGAATAAGTGTTCACTAAGGAAAAAAAAATAAGGGATTGCTATATTAAGTAAACCATAAAACAACATATTTATGTGCTCAATTGAGGTTCGTGAATTTATTCTAGAAGATAATCATTTTATACCTCCAAGGAAATGAATACTCAAAAATCATATATTGAGAACCTATTATGTTTCTTGCACTGTCCCAAGTGCTTGAGACATCAAAAACAAAACAAAGCCTTGTCTTCTTAATACGACAACTTGTGGGACTTTAACTGAGTATCATTACTCAACTAAGTATATTGATAAACTAACATTCAACTATCAAAACCCACTTCAGGTGTTACCTAGCTTATGTGCCATTCCTACAGTCCTTTAGCACTGCACATTTTAATCATAATGCATGGGATGATCTCTCTTTCTTTTCTACCATACGATAAACTCCTAAAAGACAAAACTATTTTTATTGAAGTCCATAACCAGTATCTAGCATTGTGCTCAGTACATGGCACTACTTCATACATAGCGATAGTAGAAAGAAACTTGATATACCAGAACACAGAAGAAAACAATTTTATGTATATTTTAAAATTTCATCCTTCATTCCTAAATTTCCTGAGACTATTCATATAAAGAGATTTTACAATTTATATGACCACTCCAAAAAAACAACAAAATTATCTTCTAGAGGGCAGGCCCCTTGTAGTATAGGCTTCCCCTACTAGGTGAGTGTTCTAGGAACCCCTCTGTATCAGTGTACCAGCTGGTGTTACTGTTAGAGGCTACCTTCAGCTTCAGCAAGTTTTCTTGAAGACTCAACGTGTTTGCTCATTTAATAGTAAGTGATTTACAAGCGCACCTGCCCACACCATGCTGAGTGTTCAGCAGTTTTTGACAAAATGTGGCCTGATCCTTATGCCCCACCCTCCCTATTCACCCACTTTTGCCCAGAGCTACTTTTATGCATTTCCCCAGTTGAAAAAAGTCCTCAAAGTTCTGCCAATGTGGAAGAGGTGAGACAAAAAACAGCGGAAGCACTAAAAGGCATCAAAATCAATGAGTTTAAATTAAGTCCCTTAATTTATACTTGATATCTTACTCAAAATTCATCTATTATAACCTACATGTATTTTTCAGCTTAAGGGGATAGGTACTAGAGCACTCATTAATGAAACTTGCCATTTTCTTAATATGTTTGCTTATTTTTAAAAAATAGAACATTTTTATAGTCATTTTAACTATGAAATATAAATCAATTGGTGATAAAACGTGTTATTTTAGGACAGACATTTGATATTATTTATATTTTATAACCTAGAGATAGTCACAAATTACT